CAACTAGACTGAAGAACAAAAACGACAGCAACTTGTCTGTTCCCCTTCCCCCAATTCCCCAGCACTGTTCCCATCCCCCCAATTCCCCAATAAAAAATTTTTTTTAAAATCTTAAAAAAAAAACAAAAAAACAGACTGTAGCACATCGCCAATTCTAATGAAGCAGAAACTGAGAAGGCCGCATCCCCAGGACGGCCGGGCACCAGGGGTGCGTGATTCCCCCGGCTGGGCGGTGAGGTGAACGCATCACCTACAACTGGGCTCACAAGGGGTGCTGCTCCCCGCCGGCTGGCCGCCTGGTACCCCAAGACCTCCCTCGCCTCCTCCAGACCCCCAAAGCCTGAGTTCGCCAGGTGTGGCAGAGTTAAGAGACCTGAGAGGCGGTGGGCACTGTGGGGGTTTGCCCAGGACACACCTGCTGGAGGATGCGTGGCTCAGGAAGGACTGAAGACTTGGGGCTGAGCCCCCAGAAGGCATGCCCCGCCCACAGCGCTGGTGGCTTCCAGGCCTTTCCGGGCCCTGCACCTGCCCAGCCACCCCCTTGTTCCTGTGCACACGGCTGGCTCCTAGTCGCCTGAGGATGGCAGGGCTCTGCCCCCCAGTGTTGCTGTATGTGCTAAGTAGTCAGTCAGCTCCCCGCCTCCAAGCGCACAGGATAAAAATGGAAACGGTCAGAGGCAAAGACCCGTCCAGTCTGAGCTGCAGCCTGCGGTCTGGCTCTCTGAGCACCGAGCCGTGCCCACAACACCCTGCTGGGTCTGGGGAGGGGCGATCAAGCAGCCCTCAAGCTACTGCCCCCCACTTGGCCTGGTGCTTGGAACAGGAGGGTGAGCAGAGCGCCCGTGGGCCTGCCACCTGTATCCCCGTCACCTCTGCAGACTCAGGCCCCTCCCCCCTGCTCCTGGCTGCAGTATCCTCTGCCCTGCACACCAGGCTCCAGCCAGCCATCTCCCACATGTCCCCTGCTCAGGCATCCACTGTCCCTGGTTCATTTGAGCATCGCTTCCTTGGGGAGGTCCATTCACACCACCTACCAATCGCAAAGCCCCAGGAGCCCTTCACCTGTCCGCCTGCTGGGCCCATTCTGACGTCATCAAGGCTTGGCTCTGGGCCAGCTTTGGGTCCCTCTGGACGGACCTGGTGGCCGCCCTGGTCACCCCAGTTGCAGCTGCAGGTTGCAAAGTGGTAGTTGTGTCTGGGTCCCCTCAGACCTTCACTGAGGACTTCATTTGCCCCCTCCCCCCTGGGTGGGGCCTGCACCTGGCTGTGGTCATGGTTCCAAGGACCCTGCTGTGGGTTGAGTTGTGTCCCCCGCAAAGTATATTCAAGACCTGACCCCCACTACCCATGAATGTGGCCTCATTTGGAAGTAGGGCCTTTGCAGACATGCTTAATGTAAGATGAGGCGTTAGGGTGGCCCCACTGCGACATGCCTGGTGTCCTTACAAGAAGAGGGACAGGCCTGCAGAAGTGACGGCCGTGTGACAACAGGCCATGCAGCTGGGGGAGGAGGGGCAGGGCTCTACCCAGAGTCTTGGAGGGAACACGGCTTTCAGCTTCTGGCCTCCAGAACTGGCGGAGCACAAGTTTCTGTTGTTCTCAGGCACCCAGTCTGCAGTGCTTTGCTCCAGCAACCCCAGGGGACCAGCACAGCTCCCTTGCCCCTTGTCTTACGCCTCCCAACTGGCCAGGGCTCACAGACCCCTCAGCCTCTAGCTGAGCCTCACACTTCGCGGGGCGCAGCACAGACTTGTGCAGCCTGGGTTGGGAGGATGGGGCCCTGCCATGGCCACATGCCCAGGTGTCCCACAGCCTTCAGAGCAGCGGTTCTCAACCTTTCACAGGGGTCGCCTAAGACCATTGGAAAACACATATTTTCAATGGTCTTAGGAACTGAGACACTGCTCCTCTGTCCGTCTCCAGGCCCACATGCAGATACGCCCACATACGAGTACCCGGTGACCCCTACGAAAAGGTTGTTCGACCCCCAAAGGGGTCGTGACCCACAGGATGAGAACCGCTGCTTCAGAGGCTGGCCCCTTGGCTGCCTGGCTCCATCCGCAGGCCTGGCCCGTGCTCCCTGGATCAGCGCTCAGAGCCCAACGGGTCTGACAGGGCAGCCTGGGCACCCTGACCACGTTGTAAGACTGCTGACTTGTGGTCCGGGGCCCCGGGGAGCCACACAAGGCTGCTGCCCACAGATAGGCTTAAAGCTGGGCCCTCGCCCTCAGGGCCCCCAGAGGAACTG